AGGGGAATAGCTAGGTCAAATGGGACCTCTAGTCCTAGTTCTTTAAGGTATCTCCACACTGATTTCCACAGTGGTTGCACCAGTGCACTCCCACCAACAATGGAGAAGGGTTCCTTTCTCCCCACACCCCCACCAGCATTCGTTATTGGTTGATTTTTTGATAGAAGCCATTCTTTCTGGGGTGAAGTGGAATCTAAGTGTTGTTTTCATCTGCACCTCTCAAATGACCAGTGATGTTGAACATTTTTCCACATGTTTATTTGCTGGTTTTACTTCTTTGTCTGAGAAATGTCTGTTCATTTCAGATGTCCATTTTTGAATTGGATCTTTAAAGTTGAATGCTCTGATTTTTTCAATGCTTTATATATTCTAGATAGTAGACCTTTGTCTGAGGTACAGCTGCTAAAAATTTTTTCCCACATTGTAGGTTGTCTCTTAGCTCTGTTGGAGGATTCTCTTGCAGTGCAGAAGCTTTTTAATAAGATGAGATCCCAGTTGTTGATTCTTTGTGCTAGTTCCCATGCTACTGAGGTTTTGTTCATAAAGTCTTTTCCTATGCCAATGTCTTCAAGAGTTCTACCTAACTTATCTTCCAGAAAGTTTAGACACTGTTTGTATTTAATGACATGCCACTTAGACTTCTGACCTCTTTTTCGTACACTTCTGTACACCTTGTTTATAGAGCCTTAATCTCTTGTTTGTACAGTACACCTTGTTCATATAGTACTGTAATTTTTGCTGATTGCACTGTACAATTTAGTGCTATAGTTCTGTGTTCTATTATACATCAGTACTGCATGTAAGAGTTATGCAAATAAAACTAAAGTCATCAAGTTGGAGTTTCCTTTGACTCTTATTTTGTTCTGAATATTTTCTTGTACATACTCCATACAATTCCTCATTTATTGACCAACACATTTAATAACCATTTAATGACCTAGTTGCAAGAACAAAACTTGGTCATTAAACAAGGAATGTCTATATTTATTTCCCTGTGTATTTCAAAGAAAAGTAAACTCTGAGAGATTGGCCCAAGTACTAGCCTTTAACAAGTGTATTTTTGGATACATTGGTGGTGTGGTGGGCACTTGGTTTAGGCTGAGAAGTGGTGAGCAGAAGTCTTATACCATGTTTTGTGTGGGCTGAGGGCTAGAAGTTTCACAATTCAGATTTCACTCCAGTTTAAATAAAAACTCCAACATCCTTTCTACCTAACCATTCTATTACTCTCATGTAGTAAAATCCCTTTTATACTAGATTGATTTGAGATACTCTAAGATTAAGCCTATTAGCCAGTTACCACTGTGGCCAATTTGAAGTCATAAGTGAGAGGAACACAGAGTTGGGAAAAGAGGTGCACAATCAGCTCTCATAGCTGACTTCAGCACACCTATGTCTGCTTCTAAACCTCATCTTCACTTTCTAATTAGGAAAAGGGACATCCCAGCAGAAACACTGTGGGAAGTAGTGTAATTAGAGCACACTGTCAACTGAGAACTCAAAACAGACAGGCACTGTTCTCAGGGATATATTGACATTTAGGAAAATTAATCCTCACAGCAACCCAATGCAGAGGGAGACTAATGAGGACACTAATTCATGGGATGTCACAGTTTAAATGTGGCCCAAAGACTCATGTATCAAGGGCAATGAATCATGAGGGTACTGACCTTATCAATGGATTTGTTCATTTATGAGTTCCTTGTTAAATGGGCTATTAAGAAGTGGAGCCCAGTTGGAGTAATAGGTCAGTAGAAGCAGCCTTTCAAGGATGTATCCGGTCTCAGGCCCCTTACTCTTTGGCTCTTGCTCTTCACTCTGCTCCCTGAATGTCATGAGTTAAGCAACTTTCCTCTGCCATGCCCTTCCACAGTGCTATTCCTGCCTTGGAGGCAGCTGACCATGGACTGAAACTTCTGAAACCATGACGCAAAGTAAATGGTTCTTATTTTAAGTTAACTCATGTCAGATATTTTGTCTCAATGATGGAAAGCTGACCAATAAATGGGTGAAGTAATCAGTTCAAAATCACACAATTAATATAAGAGAACTGGGATAAAGGCAAACTTCAAAGGCTTCTTCGGTGTCCATGCTCTTAAAAACTACACAAAAGCATTTCTCTAAAACTGCACAATGTAATACAGTAGTCATTGGCCATATTGCATATTTAAACATAAAATAACTGAAATTAGACAAAATTAAATTTCAATTCCTCAGCCATACTAAAAAGCTCAGTAATCACATGATGTTAGTGATGACTGTATTGGACAGCACACATATAATTCATGTCCATCATCACAGAAAGTTCTAGGAGACAACGCAGCTCTAAAATGATTAGAAAAAAGGGAGAAGCCACATCTGTTTGTTTGGAAACACAGAGAGTTTAATGGGCATTGTTGACTGCTTTAACATAAAAACTCAAAGGCAGTTTCATGTCTCTTTTGCTCTGAGAAAAGCAAATTCACTCAACTGGTCATTCATTCATTTATTCAACACACATTTACTGAGTACCTATCCTTTCCCAGGACTTGTGTTAGGTTCTGGGGCTAGAAAGATGAATGAAGTTACACAGCCCTAGCCTTTAGGAGCCTGCCGATGGAGGACGTGATCTTTCTGAGTGGTGTTCTCAAGGTAATACATGTTGAGAAAGAGGGGAAAGCAAAAGAGTCTCATCGTGGACATACAGAGTTTGATGTGTTTGTAGAATATCCAAGAGGCTGTGCAGAGGTGGAGTTCAAGTGCAAGGTCAGGGAGTGCAGATGTGAGAGTCATCAACCTCAAGGTGGGCATTACAGAAAGGGCCTGCCTAAGCCCATGCAGGGAGTACTGCAGAGTGAGGAGAGAATGAATCAAGGTCAGAACCCACCCAAGAAATGCCAACCCATCAGGCCAGGTGGAGAACCTGGTCAAGTGGAAGAGCTTGAGAAACCACATCAGAGGATATCCTGAGGATATGGGGTCACAGAAATCAAGGCTGGGGGTCTTATTCACAGAGAGAGACTAAATAATGTAAGGACTAACAAGTACCCAGTTGATCTTGGCCAGAGCCATTTAGTGGAGGAGCATGAATGGAAGCCAGTCTGTAGTGCATTCTGAAAGAAATGGAAAGTGAGGGCAAGCATATAATAACTATACACCAGAAGAATACTCAGCCATGAAGATTATGGTCCAAGAGTCATGTGCATGTTTGTCTACTACACTAAAGCATGCTGGTGGTGGACAAAGGTCAAGAATCCAGAAAGGAGAAGGAATAATAACCAAGGTCTCAAAGACACAGGAGAGCAAGGAGTCCAAGGCACAGGTATAGAGTTTAGGTTTGTGAGAGAAGAAGGAATCCTGTTCCATGGTCTGAGAGGGAAGGGGGAAGGAGGAGCATAGGCACAGAGCACAATTCATTGAAGACAACAAATTTTGGATGATGGCATGGAGAAAATGATGTGAATATGGGAGAAAGACCAGTGGGTGAACAGACAACAATGACAAAGGGAAGGGTGTTAAATAAGGGGACAAAAATGATAATTTCAATATGCTTGTTGGAACCCAGGGAGGGGCTCAGTGTTGTCTCATCTTTAGGATGTGGGCCTGAAAACTTGTCAGAATTCGTACAAAACCCTCCAGAGAAGAAAATGATCTCAACAAAGAGCCAAATGTCAAGTATGTACTCTGCAAAGAAGTGACTCATTTTCAGGGTCTTCAGCCCATGGACAGGGGTCAAAGGGAGACAATGTGTAATTCTAGGGATGAAAGGTGGAGTAGAGGAGCTAACATTTTAGGCAGGGATAAATAAATATGGAGCTTGGTGGGATTGCTTGACTTCAAGACATTAAGTAGAGTTCTAGGTTCAATGTTAGATCAAAGATGTGTAGAAATCTTAGTGATACCTTTAATGGAAGGGTTGTGTTCTAAGATTTCCAAAATCTTTCATGAAAAATCTGGAATCTCAAAAGATAATAAGCTATGCTTGGGATTGGTTAATCCCTAAGAATTTCACTTATGAGATAGAAATCACAATGCCTCCCAGAGAATGAGGATAAATTTGTCACACCTCTAATGAGCTCCTAACCCAGGTAGGAAGAGCGCTCCTTCTGGTGCAAAGAGCAGAACCCCCAGGTAATGAGCAGAAAAGGAAATTAGGCAAGGTAAGCCAAAGCCAAATCTGCTGGGCCATGATCATCATGCATGTGTGCTTCACCCTGTGTCACCCTGAAAACATTCACCCCAGGATGATTTTTTAAATTCTCCTATGCCACTGGCCAGAAAAGTCTTAGACATTGTATTAAGTAGACCCCACATCGAAACAGCCTTAAGCCTTGGCGATGAGGGAAAGGAAGGGAGATACTCACTTTCTTGTGTGTTCTAGAATTATTTCTAAAATTATACTTGAAATTCGGAATAAATTGAGACCTTGGGGTGATTAGGAAGATTGCTACCTCTTTCTGGATTGCACCATTCTGAAGGGTTTTCAGCTCACTGAGTAGATCCTAAATGGCCAAGCATAGCCCTTCCTCAGAACTCCACATCAGCCTGAGGAAACTGGGCATCATCAACACTAGTCTTCTAAATACTAAAGTTCTAGACAATGGTAGAGACCAACAGCCCCAGAAACACCTGCTCAGACAAGTGAGAACCCAGTAGGACACCAGGGTCTTAGAAGCACCCTCAGCTTGGATGTCATCCTCTCCATGACCACCCCACAGCACACATAACACATGCACCAGACATATGCGAGACACACACCTCCCTCTGCACTACCCCTCTCTCCATACAGTTCACCAATGCATTTGGAATCACATTGTGCTTTCATTGTCTGTTTACATTTTGCCTCCAGTTATATTTGTGTTCCTTTATTGAGTGCTAGGATGTAGCACGCCTATAAACTATTTATAGGAGGAGTTCTGCAAGGATGAGATAGAGTTAAATTGGGTTGAAATATGTCGAATTGAACCCAAATGACACTGGGGATCAAGGGCAGTACCTTTCCTTGGACACAAGGTGGCGAATTACCCTGATTTCCTCTTCAAGGGTCTCTGGAGAGACCCATCCCATCCAGAAACTCTCCCCAGTGCCATGTTGCTCCCCATCCCAGGTCCTCACTGCTTCTTATGGAACAGAGCTGGGGCTGGCTCATTGCTCGGCTCTGCCATGACCTGCATGGGCTGATTGTTGAGGGCGGCCTCGCGCATCTTGTGGTACATGAATTCATTCTGGCGGAACATGCGCAGCTCCATCTCTGTCTGTACCCGCATGGCCTGAGGGACACAGATGCACCATAAACAGTGAGGAGAAGCCTCAGGACATGTTGGTTCCTGACTGATGTAGGAGCAAATTACTCTCAGTCACTGATATTCAACTTGTTTCTCAGAACACACACACACACACACACACACACACACTCTCCCCACAGTCATCCACTGCGGGCTTGTGTCTTGGCAGTGAGTCCAGTTTGTTAGGAAGAGAAAGTCAGGCCCTGAGAGAGTAGCTGGAGCAATGGTTCTCAACACAGGAAATTTTTTCTCAGAAATTTTCAAGTGGGAGCCCAGATTTAAACACTGGCTCCTGAACTTACTGGTTGTGAGACCTCAGGCAAGTGATATAGGCCCTCAGTCTCCTCACTTATGAAGTGGATGAGAGTCCTTTGTGCTTTCCAGTGTGCTGGGAAGATTGTACTGTGTGACACAGAAAAGCTCTTGTTCTCCCAAATGTCCATTCAAGGAATATTTGTCAAGCCCCAGATGTTGTTTGGGATTGAGACTATGATAGTGAATAAGACTGGTGACTACACAGCCTTCGACAGCTCCTCTGCTAGAGGTAAAGTTAGTTTCTTCCATCTTTCTGCCCCATTTGGTCCTCAAGTCAATTTTGAAAGTCTAGTATATTGCTTGAATATATTTTATAGATGAGGAACCTGGGGACCTAGGAAGGAAAAGAACATCCATACCTAAGAACACATTGGTCTTTAATGTAATCATTTCAATACGTGTTATAACACCAATATCTGTCCCTGGGTTACACCACATGAGGACAGACCTGTCATTCCAAAATAAACCAGCCCTTCAAAGCACAAGGGAGACCAGCAGCTATAAAGATCATACAACTTCCCAGCCACTATTCTAAGAACTTTTTGCACATTAGTGTACCAGACCTTGCCACAGCCTTCTGCCTCCTATTACCAATGCAGAGACTGAGACCTATCCATTCAACAATTGCAAAATCACAAGGCTAGAAATCTTCACAAGTGAAAATTGAATACTAATGATCTGATTCCAGAGCCTTTGTTCCCAAACTCTCGTCTATGTAGAATACTTGCTATTAAGACAGTGCTGTATCATACCTCTGTGAATGTAAAATATCTTGCACCTGCTTTATGATATGTAGTAGTAACCATGCTTTATGAGAGCTGTTTTTAATGATGTTACTCTAGAATGTTTTCTTTCCAGATGATGATTAAGAAGCTAATTTTTTAAAATGGTAGCAGGGGGGCTGGGGATTTAGCTCAGTGTTTTTGCCGCCTGCTGCTCAAGCACAAGGACCAGAGTTCGATCTCTAGTACCAAAAAAAAAAAAAAAATGGCAGCAGGAACCACAACAGTAACAGAACTTTGCTATTTTCTGGGTATTTTGCTTTTCTTTCTTTCTTTTTTTCTTAATGGAGTATGCTAGATGTCTCTATAATTTTGTTCAGATGACTGCAGAAGCTGGAAAAACTGTTGCTGCTATTGATGGATAACATATAGCTATTATTGGTCCATATATACACAGAGAGAGAGAGAGAGAGAGAGAGAATTTTTGGAAATTTTAACTGTTCTGTCAACTTTGGAAAAAGTTATCTCAGTTTACCATGTTGAGTTGGCATTGTACAGAAATTAATAGGCATATCACTCTAGAAATGTTAAACTTAATTTTTCCCATTTGTACAGAGGTAATGCACTGTATTAAATATGTAATGTCTTATCTATGTGGGTTTGATTATTATTACAGTAACTAATAAAGTATTCTCTAAAAAATGAAAAAGTTTACTTGATATTAGTAAGGACTATACACACAGACACACACTCACATAAACACACATGCACACTGCTGTTCAGGTTTTCTCAGGGCAGGTTCTGGGTGTCTGATACAATAGACTCAGAATTTGAGTCTCTGCTTTGCCCTTAACTCACTAAATTACTATGGACAGATTATTCCCCTTGCTTGAACTTCAGTTTCCTCACATGAAAACCAGAAGGGATGGGCTAAGACATGTCTAAGTTCCCTCCTGATCTAGCTGGCTCTCTATGGACTTCGCTAAAGCAAAGCACAGCTGAACCAGGACTCATCCTCAGAGAACTCAGAGCAGGCAGGGAGTGCACAGCCCCGTGATGCTACTTGCCTCTAAGTCCTTGGTGATGGGGTGGGAGGGTCCGTGTGTCACCAGGAGAATGGCATAGGCTTTGCAGATCATCCCATGCCCCACCTCAATGTTACCAGCGTGCCAGTTGGTCAGCCCTGCCCGCATCACAGCCATGCCCAGCTGGGCATTGTTGGGGTGATAGAGCTTCCTGTAGGGGCACAGTGGGTCATTAGGACCGTCCTTATTTCTGCACATCATTTAACTACTTCTAAAGTGCCCTCACTGATTAAGTCCCTCTGCTCTTCCTCCGGTCTGTGAAGCATCTGCCTGCTGGAGAAAGGGGAGCCTGAGGCACAGAGAGTTGGCAAACATCCCCCACAGGGAGGCTGTGAGAGTTGGGACTCTGACCTGGGTCACTGAGCCACATCCTCATAGGGAAAGGTACCAGGATTGTACTTTGAGCTTTATCACTGGAAGCTGGCATCCCTGAGGAGCACTCAGTCCTCTCCCAAGAAAGTGATAGGAAGTTCAGGGGAAAGCTAACTTGACATTCCTTCCTGAAACAGCAATGTAGGGCTGGGGATTTAGCTCAGTGGTTCCAGCGCCTGCCTCGTAAGCGCAAGGCCCTGAGTTTGATTCCTGGTACCAAAAAAAAAAAAAAAAGAACAGCATTGTATGTTCAATGCTTAGACAGGGGACCCTTCCATCATGCTCTGCTGTTTGCCTGCATTTTAAAAATATAAGTAACAGAACGAGGGATTTAGCTCAGTTGTTCCACTGCCTGCCTTGCAAGCACAAGGTAACATTCTTTTAAAGAAATCCAGCTTCTTTGTCGACTTACTCATTTTGCCAAAAATACAAATTCACCTGCCAACATGGATATAATGAGTATACAGGAGGATACTGGCAGAGGGAAGGCAAGGAAATTGCATTTATAATTTATAAACAAGGATGACTGATCTATCTCTTCTCCTCCCTCCCTCACTCTCTCTCAATAAGTAAACAAACTATAGAAAGAAAGCTATACAAATGCTTTTGTTGTTTGTTAGGAAAAAAAAACTTACCAAACACCTAGAATCAAGCTGCATTTAGCCTTAAGATTGTCAAAAGCAGTAAATGCCACCCAAGTGATAAAGGAGGATCTAGAAAAAACCAGAGGTGATGAAGCATAGGCTTCATCTCAAGTGCCAACTCTAGTCATTTAGTTATAACTACCCAGAGCACCCTGATAAAAAGGCACAGTTGAAAAAAGAACTATCTCTGCTGTGGATACCGAAGGAAGGGTAACAAAGTATGTTTACCATCCCTGGAATAGACATGCTTTCAGAAACAATCTGAGTTCTGTGATCATCACCTACATGTAGCCATCCACCATCCTTCTGGCATAGTGTGCGGCCTCCTCAAAGGCCTGGAGGTAGGAGAGGACCTCAGAAACCACACTCAGCATCCGAAGCGTGTACAGGTTGGTGTCGGCAAACACCGGCTCCTGCTTCTCCAGGCACTCCCGGCAGAGCTTTACAACCTAGAAAGAGACATAGATGCTGCCATTCACCGCTGCACCTGAGCACAGCATCATTCACACATGGAAGCATCCTGACGGCACTGAGCACTCCGTCTTTCAGGATTGGAGAAACTGTTGACAGAGATGGGAAAGCAGGATTTGAGATTTGAGTACCAAAATGATCCCATCTGACTAAGATGAAAATAGTAATGATAAGATGTTTGGATGACCCAGCAGAGTGAGAAGTTTTCAAAGTGAGTGATTAGCAGGGAGGAATGAAAGCTATGTATGCAAGTATGTGTAGGCACATTGATGAGGTTACCTTTGCTCTCCTTAAAGCCCGGTTTCAAAGGATTGACCAGTGACTGAGAGCATGCCTTTAACAGGTTCAAAGTTTAAGGGCAAGAAGTGTCATAATCTCAATAAAAAGACATCTTCCCAAAGAACAACCTGCTCTGAAGCCTCCCCTTCCTCATTCTACTTCCATCCTCTACTAGAGAGCCTTTCTACATCTTCTCCATCCACTCTGAAAAGTGAATTCTTACCTCATGATACAAACCCTCAGATCGAGCCTTGTCTATTTTTTCCAGGGTGTCCTTCGAGAATTGTATCATCTCCTTCACCACTTCTTGAGAGGGCTGGGAAAGAGAGGGACACTGAATTAGAGACCCTATGATGAAGTAACCATTCCGTCTTTGAGTAGATGCCATCTTTGACATTCAGTTCAGTGTAAGATTATGCTAGCTGAGACCTACCTGCCTATTCTCTGTACCATCCCACGCTGCCTCTCTAATGATTTGGGCCCACTGACAAGCTATGAAGTCCCCCCTTGCTTGGCTCCTGGAGAAGATGACCACAAACACCCAGCAGCAGGGCTGTGTGTACCTTGGGGTCCTCTTTCACCCCCAGGAAGAGGTCATCCTTCAGCCTTTTCTGGCAGTGCTCACATGTGCAGTCAAAGTAGTACTGCTTCTTCAGCTGCCTCTTGCGTTCTTCACTGACATTGAGGAAGTCAATGTAGGACACTGTGAGCTCCTCTCCTTCTGAGATCTTACCCAGGGCCCGGAGCTCAATCCTGCAGCAGGGTGAAAGGACCAGAGTCAGTGGAATCGAGGCCTACCAGCATGGGATTGGTGCTTTCCACACTTTGAGGAATTGAGTCAAAGACAGCAAGTTCCACTAGTGCTCTGAGAAAATTTCCATTCCCTCCAAACAGGGGAAATGTGACCTATAGCACAGTTTTTGAGTTCAATCCACTCCACTCAGTAAAACAGTCAAATCAGCACCATTCAGTTAATTGCTCTGCAATCAGCTCAATGAGAGTCCCAGTAAAGGGCTGGGCTTGGTCATAAAATCACACACAGCTTCCATGCCAGCAATTATCCACATATATTTAGCTATTGACTATCTGTAACACAGAAAGGGAGAAATAATAAGGCAAAAGATCCAAACAAGAAAAGACCTAAAAATTATTCCTGCTGAGGCCAGGGATTTAGCTCAGTGGCTCCATGCCTGCCACGAAAGTGCACGGTCCTGAGTTCAATCCCAGGTACCAGAAAAAAAATCATTTCCTCTTAGCTTGGAGACTACTCTCTTAGAAACATATATACTGAATTTCCTATAATCTTGGCCCACAATCTGTGCTCCTGCATCTCCCAAGGTGCTGGGGTCTCAATGTCCAATGCAAAGCTGTTACTCAGAGCAAGTGGCAGGATGCAGAGCTGGGGACAGAGTCCATACAGATGTCTGTGGTCATTTCTTTGCCTCCCAGAGAGGCTAAGTTAGTCATGGTGCAAAAAGAAATACAAGAGTTGAGCACCCTAGAAGGGTCCCAGTCAAAGGCAGCCCCTGCCATGTCTTCTGAGATGATGACCAAGGAAACAACAGCAAAGTGTCAATGATGTGCATGTTCAGGCATCTAAGATGACTTCTTGAGATTAAAAAGCCTTTGGCCAATGTTAAATATACTGACATGACCAAGAAAACATATTTTTAATATGAAACATTAAAATTTGTATAAAAACAACTGATATGGAGCCTCGGAAAACCTAAATGTCTACTCACCTCTTATTCATTCTTTCCTTTCTTCCCTAGCCCAATTTTTGGCAGCAGCTCTTACTAATGTGATGAAAGGCATATGGAAGATTCCAGACCCACAGCTCTGTGGAAAATCCTAATATGTCTGAGCTTCTGAGGATCCTTATTTCACAAATGTGGTCTTTGATTCAGGGACAGGTAACTTCCCTCAAGGTACCTCACTTTGATGACAGAGCCAAGATTAGAACTGACCACATGTGTTTTCAGGCTGCTTCCTGGTCTATGATGGATGCTTAGGAAATGAGGACCTTCAAAGCCCTTACTCCTTAGAGCCCCACTGATACATTAAATAGCTCTGTATGCGCCACTCTTGGGCCAGTGTGGGGGTAGATGCCTGGTATTTGGCACTGGTAGGATAAGTAAGCAATTCTGCCCTCACTAATCCCTTTTAAGGGGTGCCATATCATAATTCAACTGTGACTCATTGACTCATTGGGTTGGAATTGCAGTAATTTTGTTTCCCATTATGGTTGATCTAATTCTTGCAAGATTTCCAGGTATTTCAGATTTTTTTTTCAGTACTGGGGATCGAACTCAGGACCTTGAGCTTGCCAGAAAGGCACAGCACCACTGAGCTAAATCCCTGCCCCTATCTCAGATTATTTAGAGAGTTTTCAAACCCAAATTAATTTCATACCACTGAAATATGAAAAATGCACATATGTCTACTTCATTTTACATTGAGGAAGTCAGTGTAGGACACTGTGAGCTCCTCTCCTTCGAGATCTTACCCAACTTACAATGGGGTTATAGCCGACTTTACCTATGGTAAGTTGAAAATATCATAAATCAAAATGCACTTAACACACCTAATCTACCAAACATCATAGTTTAGCCTCATCTGTCTTAAATGTCACAGAACACTTACATTAGCTTACAGTTAGGCAAAGACATGTAGCACAAAGCCTGGTTTATAATAAAGTGCCAAATATCTCATGTAATTTATTAAATACTCCATTGAAGGTGAAAATAGAATAGCAGTATGGGTAAACTTTTGTAGTATCATAAAGTAAAACAATTGTAAGTCAAAATATCATAAGTTAGGGACCAAGTATATTTGGAATTGGGGTTTGGAGGATGAATGGTGGCTAAAATAACAGCTGCAGAAGGACTAAAAAGATGAGAGTTTTAGCACTGGCTCTTCCTCCATCCAGCTTCCTTGGATAAGTCACTTTCCTACCCTGGACCCAGGCCTCCTCCATCTCCAACACTCCACAATTATATAGTTCAACTAATTGAGCCACAGTGGACAAATTATTCAAATATTTCTTGTGCAGGTCAGAAACAGAGCAAAAGTCACAGAGAACTAGAAAGGTCCCTGTAGACACTCTTCTCTTGACTTCATGCTACAGGTGTGGGCCTCAAGCCCAGCAGATGATGTGAATTGTGGAAAGTCAAGTGCCGTGTGCACCAGCAGACACAGATGCACCAACTACTCCCACCCCTCATTCCCAAAGGCCAAGTCCCACACAGAATTTTGTTCTTAATCCAAAGACCAGATTAAAGGTTTCCAAGCCAGCCTGAGCATGGCCCCATCTGGGGCCATTTGATTGTCATGAAGCAAAAAAAGCCAAAAGTAAAATGTAACCTAAACCGTGAATTTATAATTGGCTATAAATAGTGAACAGAATACTATGAATAAATATTTATCAAAATATTACAGTTATGGGTACTATTTCCAGAACCCAGTCTGGGTGAGAAGTTGGAGTTATAAACAAACACTAATTTTGCAGTAACCAGGGTTTGGAGGTACAATGTAGATTTTGGTTAAGAGGAGGTGAATTAGAAGGGTTCATGCTTTGATGTAGGCAGAATGTGAGAAGTGAGGAGTGAAAGAGAGGGAAGAAAGCAAGCAAACTAAAGCAAAGACAAGGCAGGTGGTGGGTAGGTAAGGAGAAAATGGTTAATTTGAATACATTAAAAACTAAGCCATTCAATGAAGATGAGACACTGGAGTGTAGAAGGACATTACAGAAAGACAACAGCCAAGGGGACTTGGGAAGGGGCAGTCCCAGTAAACCAGGAAAAGTGAAAGAGATGGGTCAGAGGAGCAGGGATGCTTGAAAGGCCTGACCCACCTCATCTGGGTGTGAAACATGGATTTCACTGCCTCATGACTGAAAGACAAAACAGACACCCAAATGGAAATCAGTACCACTGGCTGATCAAGTACAGCTAGCAAGATTGCACAGCATTCTGGGTTACACAACCACAACTCTGGCCATCACGCAGCCTTTATCCCAACACCTTCAAGCTGGGCTCACATAACAGGACACAGCCTAGTATAGTGGAAAGTCCATTGGCATGAGAAGCTCTGGGTTCAAAAGTCGTCAGCCATGAACAAGTAGCTTCTATTTCCTGGTCCTCTGTCTCACCTGTTACCTGGTAATGAGACTGTCACAAGACAATGCATTTAAAAAAGAACAATGCTAAGAAACATATGGGAGGTTGTTACTATTGTCCCACTAACAGGCACCCTGGATGGAAATACTGCCTGTTTCAATGACTGACTTTGTAAGAATTTGAATTGCATATTGAGACTGGTTAGACCACATGGGTAGTATGTAAAATGGTGAGCATTAGAATTGGGCCCCAACACCATGTCCAGGGCTCTTTCCACTATGACAGCTAGGCAGTGACTGCAAAGACATCTTCTCTTGCACAAAAGCCAACAAGCCCAGGTAAGACATGGCTGCTCAAAATTAATAGATGCAAGGAAGCCAGCACAGACACCAGAATGATTGAAGACAGTGTTCCCAGCCAGGTCCCTCAATTGTTACACATAGTGACCACCATTGAGGGAGAACCATCTGGAAAATCAGGCCTCATGTACAGCAAAATAATGATGCTCTCTACCAAGCCTGGTCAAGAAGCTCTCTAGGGAGGATTCCATGAGGTCCAGGCCAATGACCCCAAGAGGCTTAGGAAAAGAAACACAGATGCTGGGAAAATGTGATCATCTGGGTATAAAATAAACTTTCCCATCCTGAGCATCTTTTCCCATTGGTTAAGAACCCCATGTCAGAAATAGGAATGAAAAGGGAAAGCAGAGTCCTTGCTATGTTGAGGCTCAGGTCAAGTTCTCAGCTGAGAATCAGAAGCCGTTGTCTTCAGCTTCCAGGAAGTTTTTAGGGAGAACTCTGCCCATTGTTGATAGCTCGGTGTCGGCTTGCATCTGTCAAGAGAGCTCATCTTTAAGAGCGAAAGCAATTAATACTGTTCAGGCCTCATCTCCCTCCCCCCATGTACCCAACCTGTTCCAGGGACAACTCAGCTCATCTGCTGATTCTTCTCCATGTGTGCTTCACCACTGAGATCCATTTTTTACCCTTATGTTCCTGATCTGTCCTTTTCTGGGGGCACAAGGCTCAATTCTGAAGGATGTATCACCCAGATTCCTTTGTTCTCTGGCCTCTGGTTGGGGATTGGCCCAAGGGGAGGAAACCAAAAGGTTGTAGGAGAGAGATGTTAGGGCATTTGGAGCATGATTTGACCAGTGGTTGGTTTGCCTACAGGCACAGTTGTAAGTCACAGCAGAGTGGGCTCCTCTCTATAGCTCAGGCTTTCATTGGCTGTAGAGAAAGTGTTCCTCTACTTGTCCTGCCAAGGCTGGGGGTGGTAATAGCTTCCTGTGCTCTGGACACTGGACACCTCATTAGAATTTTAACTCCTGCCCACACTAAACTGTAAACTGCTCCTTCATTAAATTCTCTTTGGATAACTCTTTTTAATGTGCCTTCTAATTCCTGATGGTACCTTAGATTCTGCCAAGCCATTTCTTAGTCAGTGTTCTGCTATGAACTTTAGATAGATCTGTACTAATTACAGCTGTTTTCCTATCCCTTCCAGTACTACCTGTGGGGTTCAAGCTTAAAGTAGAAGTTAAAGATTTACTTAGCATGTCTAGACACTCTCAAGGTACATGTGAAGACTCAGAAAGGACCCATGTGGAATCCTTTGATATCCACCTTGATACCTTTCTATATTTATTCTATATTGAGATCCCAATTCACTCCACATTGGAAATCCATGGTAGAAAAAATATCATAAAGTCTCCCCATCCCCATTTCACACACTCACCAATTAAAGACACACTCACTTGCCATTGTTGAATATGACTGTGCAGTTAGGCCAACAGTCATGGTTCACCAGGCCCAGGTTGGGAAAGATGCCCACTCCCACCGCCTGCAGGCCTCTCTGGTCACTGAGTGTGAAGCCATTGCAGTTGATCTACCAAGAGGAAAAGATGAGGGTCAGTTGACTGACAGAGACACAGGACAGAAAAATCAATTATTTCATTATCATTCCTAGGGCTGAAAGGAGTATTTTAAAAAATAGGCTCTGCATAGAGAGTCTAGAAACAAATAATCTGTTCTCTGTGTGACTCCAAATGACACCCACAAGATGAGTGAGTGCCCCAAGGGATTCCCATGTTTGCAAAAATGCATTACTAGCTGGAAAGTTCTTAGTGACTCCATTCCCAGAAGGCCAAGTTGGAAATGTAGGTCCCTTTTGCTGTGATTCAGTCACATGAGTCTTCCTCAATATCTGTCTTGGTGTTTTGCTCCTCTCCCTACATTGCTGTGTGTGTGTGTGTGTGTGTGTGTGTGTGTGTGTGAGAGAGAGAGAGAGAGAGACTCATCTGCTTGTCGCTCCCCTCCTTCCTTTGCCTACCCACTCACAATTCCTACAGTTGCACACAAAATAAAATTTACTTCTTTTTTGCATTGTTTTGTGTTAGGTGTACAGTTTTAGACTTCCTGTTCACAATTTTGAAATCAGATGAATGTCATATTTAATACTTATCTCTGAAATCCAAGGCAAATTAAGGTGATATTACAAATGTGACATTCAATTAATTTTCTTTTCCTTAAAAGTAAGTTGTTCTTTATAGAATCAGATTCCACTACTTGCTCTTGGACTATAAACTGTGCAGAAGAATAAACAAAACCTATAATACATTTATAATTGCACAAAATTTCTACCTCATACATAAGCACATACATGAATACATGTACACAATATAAATACAATACATATCATAAATGTAACATACATTTATGCACTCCCATGGCAACTTATTATGGATATGAAGGAGGATCACTTTCTCCACTCATTTTCACCAGACATTTAGCAATGCATGATGGTATGCTTGTGAGTGCCATTAACATGCTGTGTTACCTTAAGCAAATTTCTTTCTTCCCGAGCTCCTGTTTTGTCATCTGTAGGTTAAATAGGGTGGAGTAGATGAACTCTAAGGATCTTTTCAGCTCTAAGCTTTATGTGTAACTGTGCGGTCTATAGCTCTAGTCTCCAGACTCCCTCAGGGATCCCCAGGCTTGGTCACTCACACCAACTCACCCCAAGGCCATAGAGCATGGTAAGAGTAGAAGCTTTGGCAGCAGGCAGACCACCTCTAGACCTTCTGAGGGCACCAGCTGACCATGTATTCTTCAATAGGAAAGCTAAAAACATGAACTTTACCTTCTGTGGTAAAGATTACATGATGTGATATAAGCTGTGATGGTTACATTTATGTATCAACATGGTGGGGTCATGGTGCCCAGATATTTTATTTGGTTAAACCTTATTATGTATATTTCTATGAAGTTATTTTCTGGATGAGATCAATGTTTATACTGACAGACTTTGAGTAAACCCAAGTGCCCTTCACAATTTGAGTGGGCCTCATCCAATCAGTTGAAGGCCTTAAGAGAATAAAGCCCAACCTCTCTGAACAGAAAGGAATTGTGCAGCTCTTTCCCAGGTGTCTAGGCTCCATGATTACACAATTACAAGAGCCAGTTCCTTAAGTGCTCTCTCTCTCTCTCTCTCTCTCCCTCGGGGGGTATGTAGAACTCAAGAGATGTTGAATGCCATTGCATTGTTCTTGCTATTAGAGAAACCTTCCTTCTTGTCCTGATCACCATCACCACATAAGGGGCGTGGTCCTCCAGCTGGAAGACATCTAATCCTCAAGCCTAAAACCTGATTCTCCTGAACCACCAGGCTCCACCCCCACCTCCTGGACTGCAGCAGCCTCATCTGTCTTTGTTGTTCCCACCACGAAGCTCTGACTCCTTGTCATAAGCCCACACAGCCCATGGCCCCAAGCTCCCCATCAGTCCTGTGGGGCAGACTTGGGAAAAAGAAAAGTCTAAAAAAAAAAAAAAGAAAAGAAAAGTCTAGTTTCCAAAGTGCCTGGTGGGCTGGATGGGATGAGAATCAGGTCTTTGTTTTCACTGTGGACAGGAGAAAATTTAGGAAGTGTAGATAAACAGGAACACAAATTACCATCCAAATGCACCATTGGTGTGTGGGTGCCAATTTCAGTTAAGGCGGGAATGACTTCATAGCAAAGTCAGAAAGAATTCAAGACGAGAGCCCTTTATGTTAAGCTTGGCCTCCCCCTCCTCACTCTGGCCTGGGCTTCTGGAAACCTCTTAGTCTGACAATCCCAAGTGTCACTAGCCTCTGTTCTTTATGAGGAACCATACAGCAGGATATCCGGATTTTTTTAATGGGGTCATTTAGAGGCCTGTCCATAGGCTCAGAACAGAGGCGGCATAGGTGGATCTGCTATGGCTGGTAAGTAGGGGGCAGTCTTCAGCAACCTCAGCTACCAGGGTTAGATGTGATTGTCATAGAAACAAAAGGCACTGTCTGGGGCAGATGAGGCCCTTGGACTCTGAGAAGGCCCAGCCTCCCAAGGGGGACAAGGCAAGGAGGGAGGAAAAAGAAAGGGTGTGAGGAGGGGCACCGGAGAAGGGGAGTGGACCATACCACTCCAAAGATGTGCGAGATGTACTGCATGCTGAACTGTTGGCTCTGGGGTGGCCAGTACTGCAAGAACATGTCCACGTCCACTCGTAGCTCCTTCTGCTCTTCTTCCCCAAAGTGCTCCACATGGTTCTGCAGGTCATCCACGGACACCAGACAGCCTTCTGTGAGCCCGGTGCCCTCTCTCTCCACCCGCCACATGATTCGTGCTGCCAGCCTAGGGAGGGGGAAGCGTTACCCATCCATCCAGTCATTCATTCAGCAAACACTGGGTACCTAATGCATTCCAGGCACAGCATCAGGCCCTTGAACTAGACAGATGGATCTTCAATCATGATGCTTCTTATATAGGGAGAGATAGGTAAATGAGATCATTTTAAGTAGTGTTACATACTATGCAGAAAACAAAATAGGATGAGGCGATAGCAGCTGAGGGAGGGGAAGCCAAGGTCATTGACAGGAGTCATGGAGCAGGGACATTTGAACTGGAGCTGGAATGGACAGAAGGAGCCAGCTCCATGAGGCTGGGGAAAGAGCAGCAATTACAGACAGCCTGAGGAAGGAATGACTTTGGTATCACAGAAAAACAGCAAGAAGGGGGGCCGGGGATTTACCTCAGTGGTTCTGGCACCTGCCTCGAAAGCACAAGGTCCCAAGTTTGATCCCCCGTACAAAAAAAAAAAGAACAAGGAAAACACCAAGAAGGCCCTGGTGACTGGAGCAGAGAGCAAAAGGGGTTGGAGAGTAAGGCAGGAGCCAGGTGACACAGGGTCTGGGGACACCAAGAAGAACAGCAACCTGAGTCTCACCTGACAGTGTATCTTTCTAGGTGAGCTCTGGATAAGGTGTCTAATGACCTGCATTTTGACTCTTTCCACTTCTTACTGAGTGGCACTGAGCAAGTCACTTGACCTCTCTGAACCTAACCAGTGACCAGTAAAATTAAGCTAATATTTTCTGCCATACCTCCAGAGGTACTGAAGACAAAGTGAAGCTGTGGACACTCATCATGTGTGATATTATTCTTTTGATTTTTTTTTTCTTGTGATACTGGGGATTGAACTCAGGGCCTTTTCACTGAGCTACATTGCCAACCCTTTCTTTATTTTTTATTTTGAAAGAGTCTGACTGAGACACCAAGTTGCCAGGGCTGAGCTCAATCTTGTGATCCTCCTGCCTCAGTCTCCCACAGAGTTGGGATTTCAGGGTGTGCCACCACACTCAGGTTGATCTTATTCATATTCTTAATGGTTGAGTAGAGAGAAAGTAGAGACAGCCATCCCAGTGAAGAAACAGCATAAGGAAAGGCTTAGGAACAACCAGGGGCATGGGCCACACAGGAAGCAGAGAAGGGGCTCTGGGAGAAGAGGGGAAGCGAAGTGGAACAGGAAGGGACCCTGGGGAGCACAGGACTTTGAGTGTGACAGAAGGGTGGGCTTTACCTTGAGGGCATCCTTGTGAACTATTAGGTGGTCCCTTCCCACAAAGTGAGTCCTGTGACAGGGGAGGGTTTGGTGTCTCTCTGTCACCCACTGACCACACACTGTCCAGGTGCCTGGGAGGGGCTGGTGTCCCAGGACAGACCCTGGCCTGCAGAGAGACACTTCCCCTCCTTGACAAGGCACAGGCGAGATGCCCTACTGAGGTCCTCAGGTGCCTAGGAATCAAGATGTCCCCACATGAGTCTTAAGGAAGCACCAGTGGAAAAATGCTCAGGATGGGGTAGAGGGCAGATCTACAGCCTCCAAATCCTGGAGAAATGGTCACCACACTCAGAGAACAGAGATTAGTTGGTGACAGACTTCAATTCAGCATCAGAAGAAACTGTAAGTGGGACTGTGCAGACAGGGGATTAAGCATACGTCTTACTTTGGGTCCTGAAGGTGACGTTTACTTTGGGTCTTGAAGAACATGTAAGCTATCAAGAGATGGAATTAAGCAGACTAGGGAGGCTCACTGGGCTATTTCATCCCGCAGTTCCCTAAAAGCTGCCAAGATATAGGATTCTGTTCTGAACCTTAACTTTGTGCTCTTCTGGCAGAGTGAAAATGCTCTCAGTCACATCCCCACTTCCTCTGCTCCCTGCTGCTGCTTCCTGAGCACCTTCCTGTGGCCCAGGACCAATTCCTACAGGCTGAGTCTCCAGGACTGGGATCCACATGTTGGCCCTGAGACTTCTGGCAGTGGGCACTGTGGAAGCACCTAGTGCTGCAACTCAAATGTCCCTATTGAGCACACAGAGCTAAGTGTAGGACACAGCAAGTAGCTGGGTTGCAGTTTCTTGGAGAACTAGAGTTTCAAAAGGAACAAATGCGTGAGAGTGGAGCACACACCTGTGATCCCAGCACTCAGGAGACTGAAGCAGGAGAATCACAGCAAGTTCAAGGCCAGCCTGGACTACATAGTGAGTTCAAGGCCACCCTGAGCTACATAGTGAGACCTTGTCTTAAAAAAAAAAAAAAAAAAAAAGAAGGAACAGATGCTATTGCACTCCAGCCTGTCTTGTCAGATCTTCATTTTGTTGTTTTGTTGTTGAGCATTCCTTTTCTTTTTTCCAAGATGAACAAGAAACCCTAATTTTTTTAACATAAAAATTTTAACACTGAAAGGTCAGTTTTTAAAAACTGAACATTTGGGAAACCACACAGGGAATCACTACGGCAATCTGGGGTCTCCTCCGACTTGGAGGAAGTGAATGGAAGGAGCAACCATGTCCGGTCTCTTTGAGGCTCTTTCCCAGTTTTACTCGGCCTGGCTTCCTCAGGCCTGGGAATGCTGACACTGCCGCCACACCCCACCTGACACTCGAGGATCCCAGCCCTGACCTGATGTTCTCATTGGGCACCTTCCCATATCTCTTGATGGCAGAACACTCATTCTTGTGGTTCAGCCAGGCGTCCTTCTGGCAGGTGCGGTCACAGTAGTGGGCGAACTTGCACTGCCCGCAGCGATGGAGCTTCTCCTGCCTCTTGAAGCAGGTGTGGCACACAAAGTTCACCAGGCTGGAAAGGTAGGGAGACAATGTGTAGTCAGGGGTGGGTGTCATAGGCCACTTACTAATACTCTAGATGAACAAATAAAGAAAAGAGATTTGTCTTGGCTCGCATTTCAGGTCCGCATCTGGCAGTGTCCCAAGGTGACACAGGACATCACAGGGTGACAGACAAGAAACACACCACACATGTCTATGTGTATTTCCTCTGTTCTCTCCCTCTTCTCCTAAAGCCACCAGGATTAAATTGTGGGGGCTCCATGCTGATGACCTCATCTAATCTTAATCACTTTCCAAAGTCCCCAACTCTAACCACAATAGCCAGGTTGTCCCCATCCTTTAATATCTCACAGTGGGGATTAAATTTCATGAATGAATTTTAGGAGGATATACTCGAGCCATGTCCAAACCATAGCAGGAAGCACAGTGGCAAGAACGTTGTACTGGGTTCTGGTACCAGCTAGCTCAGTGGGCTGCTCCTGGTCTTTCTAAACTTCAGGTTCACACTTTTCAAAGTGAGGGAGTTGAGCTTCCAAAGTTCCCTTTAAGTTATAATTGGTCCTTTAATAATATTTTTATGTAACCCTGGTGTGAGAAACACTACAGCCCTCTGGGGATCAGTTCAACTCAGCAAGTGTAAATTCTCCTGAACCAGGCCCTGGGAATCCCACAGGGTGCCAACCAAACAATCTGTGAGCCTGTGGTCACCTCTCAGGGTGCTGAGTGCTATGAGAGGGGAGCATGGGCTGTTCTTAAAACACATTGGAGAAGACAGCAGAGGAGCCTGGAAGTCTTCCGGGATGAGACAGTGGGCCAAAACTCTTCATGGGCCTCTCGCCCGTGTCATTGACACTCATTGTGAATGTGTTTTGTGTGTCACATCCTTCTCATTGTTAGAAAGTAATGTTCCCTTCCCAAAGGAATAAAAATTATAAGTATCGTCACTATGATGGGACAAGAAACACGATAGATAGTATTATACCAAAATGAGCTTGGTCTACATACTCTGCATCATAGTTCTGTGTTTTGCAGCAGTAAGAATTACAAGGTTGCTGATGTCATCTGATGTGCTCTTCCAGCTCTGAGAGAGGGTAGAACTAAAGAAGGAAAAAGATGTGGGAAGATGAGGTTTCCTATCCCATGCTGCAGCCTCACAGTACTTCCATTAGATAGCCCTGTGTCTCCCATGTGAAATAATCATTTACAGAAAAGGACATAGGCTGCGGCATAGATGAATGAATTTAAACATGTAGCCTGGCTCCCAGAGTGAGTGACACTCCCAGAGTGAATGACATCTGGAGTCCTCCATGTTCCTGCAATGCAGGGAGGAGAAATCCCAGCCACTGAAGCAGAGTCATAATGAAAACCAGCTCAGTGATGTGCAGAGAAGCCCTGAGCTCCCTGGGCAGAAGTGGATGGGTAAACTCAGGTTGGAACTCGAAGTCTAAACAGGGATCTCAAAAGTTTAAGAAAACAGGGGCTTTTAGAATAACAGAATTCTAAAACCTGGAGGAAAATATCCTCAGAAGCTTCAAATGTAGAAGCTCCATGTTCATCCTTCACCATTAATTTTCTAATTCCCATAGTGAAGATGTCCCTGCCTTTAAGAGTAGTTAGTTGATGGGTAGCCGGTCCTAATTGTTACAAACTTCTTCCTTGTTAAGATTAAATTGATATCCCCAAAAACATACTCCTGCACTCTAATTTGGCCCTCTGGATTTTTGCCCAATGAAACAAGAACAAGAGCAGATTAGTGTTTTAAGAATCTGAACACCACTGCCCTTCATTTCCCTTCTTCAAATTAAAAGTTCCTGGTTCCTTCAACAGGTCTCTGCACAATGTAGTTTCTGGAATTCTCCCATCACTCTGGTGGCCTCTAATGCACCTATAGCAGGTCCCTGCAGCCAAAGGACAGGGATGTAGCAGCACAATCAAGCAAGATCCTGTGACTAGTACTAGAGGTCAAGCTCAAGGGCCAGTCCAAGGCTAGACCTCAGGGCCAGGGATTTAGTTCAGTGGTTCCACCACCTGCCTTGAAAGCGCAAGGTCCTGAGTTTGATCCCTAGTACCAAAAAGGAAAAAAAAAAAAAAAAAGAACCAGCCAAGGCTAGACCTCATGGTCCCAGTGTGGCATCAAGAAGAAGAGAGCCAGGTGCTGATTCAGTTGAGGATGCCACAAGGTTTACTGCTCCAAGCTAGGACCTGGGCTTTCCCAGAGTCCAGGCAGTTTTCAGCCTCTGGCTGGAGACTCAAAACACTGCTCTGTCCCAATCAGCTAGCTGTGAAGTGATTCCCTAGTAACTTGTTAATAGTTTTAAAGTACTCAAGCGTGTGGAAGGTCAGTGCTTATTTATAAACTACAGCCAATTCAAGGTCATCCCCATCATAATGTCTTCCTTACTCTTATACTTGTGTTCTCTTAAATTTCCTAGAGAAGAGGAGGAGTAGAATTACCCTAGCATACTTAGAATTCCACAGAATCCAGAGCCCATTATAACTGTGCCCTGGAGGGCGAACTCTACTTGAGAAAGTCATTTGTCATGAAATGTCCCAACAGAATAGAGCACATAGAGCTTACATGGACTCTTACATGGGATCTTTAGTGAAAATCTCTAAGCCCCCGGACATGGGGAGCTATGAACTTCATGCTTCTGTCTCAAGCCAGGTCTGCATGCTCTGGCAGGAATTTGAATTAGCAAGGACTGGATTGCAACAACAAAAGTAAATTAGACCCCAGAACACTCCAAATCCTGTCACCTAGTGACTCAAAGGTGAGGACACTTTACAATTATGATGCCCCCCCCCCAAAAGAATAGTATTCAGATACAGTGTCTTCTACACTCCCTGGATCTTCACATTGGTCTTCCATTAGTTTCTTTTGGGGGAAAAAAAACTCACCTTAGTTTAAAGTTAATTTACAAATTAGTCACTAGAACTTCCTGTGCTTTCTCAAAGGTGCTACACCAAGGCATAATTTCTCTCTGTCCACACGGCACTAATTTTCTGCACGGATTTATGGAGGCACAATTAACATACAATAAACTATACATATTTTAAATACATACTTTTGGGCCAGGCTGGCAGTGTACACCTATAATCCCAGCAAGAAGATTGCTGCAAGTTCAAGGCCATCCTGGGCTGCATAGTGAAACTCTGTCTCAAAAAATGTATATTTTTAGTATGCACAAGCTCCTGAGTTCAATCCCCAGCACCAAAAAAAAAAAAAAGAAGAAGGAAAAGAAAAAAAAGTATTATGTTTCTCTTACTGTAACAAAATATCTAAGATAATCAACTTTAAAAAGGAGAGTCTATTTTGGCTCACAGATTAGGAGGTTCAGTTCATGGTGGATTGATTCATTGCTGTGGCAACACATCATGGTGGAAACACATGGCAGAGGAAACTCCTCACCTCAGAGATGCTGGGAAGCAAAGAGAGATAAAAGGAGGAGCCAGGGGTCCTAATTGCCCCCTTTAAGGATGCACTTCTAATGACCTAACTTCCTTCCACACAACCCCACTTCCTAATAGAGCACAGGTTGAGAGCCAAGCATTCAATACATGGACCTTTGCAGGACATTAGAAATCTAAAATACACTATTCAGCCCCTAACAGCTCATGTCCATCTCACAAGGCAAAATGCATTCAGTCCATCTCCCAGAGTGTGTACTCTTTCATAGATGCCGGCAAATGCACCTACCCAACACCATCATCAATAGAGCAAACATGCTCATCAACCCCGAATTTCCCTCATGAGCCTGAGTTGTTTAACTGGGAATGGAGCCTTCACTTTTATAGCTATCTGGCTTCTTCCAGTGTAGCATTCCGAAGTGTCAAGAGCATCTTGAATAATTATTGTGTCATCTGGTGTTATGCTGATGTGCTAAACTTAGAGTCATCTACAATTCTAAGAACCTGTTTTAGGTTGGGAAAGAAGTAGGAGTAGCAGATGCCACCCTCCAGGATAACAGGACACAGACCAGGAATACAAAGCCAAGTCAGGAAAGAAAGGGAGGGGAACCAAGAAAGGATCTGGAAACAGAACAGTTAGAAGCAAGCACAGTTCTGCTGGCTGTCACAGGCCACTAGTCACTTGCACCACCTTGTCTGTTCCAGGGACATCTATCAGAGAACAACCCCACTCTGGCACTGCTAGCATATCTCCCACCCAAACTGATCATTTTAGAACATTCTAGTTACACTACCTTCATTTTTCACTCATATGCATATTTTTCTATCTTGGGGATATACTAAAATTTGCATCCATTGAGCAAAAAGGTTACACTGAACAGTTTGCATCAGTTGTACTGTTTTAAAAGTTAAACACAGGGGACTGGAGGTATAGCTCAATGCTAAAGCACATGCTTACCTAGCATGAGGGAGGCCCTGTGTTTCAACCCAACAATCCACACAAATTTTAAATTCAGAAAACATTTTAAGCCAGCATGGTGGTACACATTTATAACCCAGCTGCTTGGGAAACTGAGGCAGGAGGCTTTCACATTTGAGGCCACCCTGGACAACTTAGTGAGACCTTGTCTCAAAATTTTAAAGAATAAATTTTTAAAAGGCTGGAGATGTAGTTCAGTGGTAGAACACTTGCCTAGCAAGCAAGAAGTCCTGCTTCCCTAGTAAAACACACACACACACACACACACACACACACACACATTAATTATAAACTTAAAAAAATAAAAATGAATTTTAAACATTAGTAAAAACCACGTAGTTATTTGAAATAACAGAAGTTCTGCTTTTTCATCATTATAATCACTGATTATTTCTTACTTACTTAAAATATGTAGTAGCACAGGGGTTAGAGACATGGACTGTGGCCAACACAGTACCAACACAGTATCTGTCCTTAAGGACAGACTCTCACAATGAAAGCACATAGATCCTGGTGAGGTGGCACATATCTGTGATTCCAGCCCTCTGGAAACTGAGGCAGGAGGATCACAAGTTTGAGCCTAGCCTGGGCAATTCAGTAATTTATCAATACCCTGTCTCAAG